TGCCAGCCTTGGTGTATGTGGCCAGCACCCTATCCACTGAGCTACAGGTGCCACCCATGTGTCCTAAAAGAAGGAAGGAAGGAAGGAGAAAGAAAGGGAAAAGGAGGAAAGGAAGGAAGGAGAGACAGAGGGGGAGGGAGGGAGGGAAGGAAGGGAAGGAAGGGAAGGAAGGAAGGGAAGGAAAGGAAGGAAGAAAGAAGGAAAAAAGGAAAGAAAGAGAGAGAAAGGAAATAAGAAAGGAAAGGAAGAAAGAGAGAGAAGAGAAGAGAAGAGAAGAGAAGAGAAGAGAAGAGAAGAGAAGAGAAGAGAAGAGAAAAGAAACAGTATGGAGTTCCCTCATTGGGAAGATGGGATCTGCACAGGAAGGAAGATAATGGGCAAGAAAGAATGACCCAGGATATAAATGGTCTAGGAACTCAGAAAAGGTAGTGAGCCTTCAGCCTTGTGTAAGGTCACGACGGAGGTGAGATTTGGCAAGGAAAAGTTGGAAAAGTTTTGGCTCAATACAAAAGAACAGAAAGGAGTGAACAGAGGTGCTCCATGAAAGGGCAAAAAATTAATGTTTGAGGAGAAGGAGCAGGGTTGGCTGGCTGGAGGGAGGATTCATGAGGGAAGCTACTATATCTATTGACATTTACTCTGTGCTAGGCACATGATTTTAAAGTCATTTACTCCTCTTGCAAGTTGAACTTGAGAATGTCCAAGAAGAGAGGGACTCCTTGCCCTCTACCCAGGCAGGACTAGGCACTCAGTTCAGGATCCATCAGAGTTGCGGGACTTCCTGTGCTGGGAGGTGAGGGGGCTGCTCTATCCTGGAGGTGGCTCTCAGTCCCTCATATTTACACAAGGCTTTCAGCCTCCAGAATATTTTCCACATAAGTTCTCTTGTTGGATCTCACAATAACCCTGTGATGTAAGTAGAGCAGATAAGGAAATGAATCTCAGACAACTGAAGAGACTTGCCTAAGGTCATGCAGTAAGTGGGTGGCAGAGTTGGGACATGAACCTGGGTCTCTTGCCTCCAGCCCCAGGCTCTTTCCACTGAAATATCTTGTTTGAGGCTGTAAGGTTTACCTCAGGACACCATAACCAGGCTTAGATTAGGCACCCCAGTTGACAAGCCCACCTGCTTCCCTCAAGGTCTCTCCTCTCATGATGAGGCAGCCCCTGGATGGGCTGGAGATGGCTAGTAATGAGAACTCTTTCCCAAACTCAGCTTTTCCTCAACCCAGCTGAAGTTTTGTCTTAGTTAAAGCTCTTTAAGTAAGAGGAACCCACTTACACTGGCATTAATGAAGGGTCAATTGACAATGAAGATTTAGCAGTATCCTAGGACTCCACAGGGAATTTAACTTGGCCTGGAAGGGACTGAGGAAGGGAAACAAGACCACTTCTCTCTCATGCTACTTCTGTTTCCCCTGTGCCTATATGCCTTATTATGTCTCTGGATCTCTGAGCACTTGGAGGAAAAGAGTGGTCCACACCTTCTAAGTTGTCTTGAGCTCAGTTCCAGAACCTCTTAGTTCCAGGTGTGCTCCTATACACTCAGCTAAGGCAGAAGGCCAGAACTCCAGAAAACAAACATGGCCCCAAGGAGATATCTCAGAAGTGGCTCCTACAAGGTTCAACTGGTCTTCAAAAGCCTTGTCTCCTTTTCTTTCTCCTTCTGCTGCTGCCCAAATGTAGGTGCTGGACATCAACCAGGCAGATGCAGGGACCCTGCCCCTGGACTCATCCCAGAAGGTACAGGAGGCTTTGACATGTGAGCTGAGTAGGACTGAGTTTGCGGAGTCCCTGGGCCTCAAGCCCCAGGACATGTTTGTGGAGTCCATGTTCTCTCTCGCTGACAAGGATGGCAATGGCTACCTGTCATTTCGGGAGTTTCTGGACATCCTGGTGGTTTTTATGAAAGGTGAGGAAGGAGGGAATAATCATCCAGATAGGAGGGGCTGGACAGGGGCTGGGGAATTGAAGCTTGGAGTGTGGCTAACCTGCTGGAAGTGGGGAAGGAGTGGGGCCAGATCTCCAGACATGGCAGACATCTAGGAGTGTCCAGGCAGGGGTCAGGAAGCAAAGTGACCTCTTTCTGTGTCCAGCAAAGGGTCATCACATGGGTGCAAGGTCCTTTCTGGCTGGCCTGGGGGTTCGGACAAGGGTTCTTCTCATGGAGTCCTCCTTCCTCTAGGCTCCCCTGAGGAGAAGTCCCGCCTTATGTTCCGCATGTATGACTTTGATGGGAATGGTCTTATTTCCAAGGACGAGTTCATCAGGATGCTAAGGTTGGTCTCTGGGACAGCCAGGAGAGTAGGCCAGGGCAGGGACTGCCTGGGAAAAGAGGTGGGACATGAAGAGAGCAGGAGGATAAAGGTGGGCAAGGGCCTTGTCCTTACCCATGTAACCAGAGACTATTATAATTAGTAGGGAGCTTGGGGTTTGACCATTCAGGGTCCTTCCATGTAGTGCTGAAGGCTTGCTTATTGGATGGTCAGTAAACCTGATGGCACCCCTGTCCCAATCCCAGGTCCTTCATTGAGATCTCCAACAACTGCCTCTCCAAGGCCCAGCTGGCTGAGGTGGTGGAGTCTATGTTCAGGGAGTCAGGCTTCCAGGACAAGGAGGAGCTGACGTGGGAGGACTTCCACTTCATGCTGCGGGACCATGACACAGATCTCCGCTTCACTCAGCTCTGCGTCAAAGGTGGGGTTGCTGGATGGGCAAGGCTGACTCACCCATTAGGCACAGTAGACACCATGCCCACATACTTTTAGGTGCCCACAGAAACGTTTACACTTCTTTTAAAATCAAAAGAACAAAGGAATATAATAATAATGAATATGTAATTTTGTATCTAACCTGAATTGTATTCTTTATGGCAATAATTCTAAAACATATTTTTTTATTTTTATGAAGGCAGGATCCCAAGCAGGCAAATGTGCCTAGGGCCTATGAAAGTCATAATGTAGCCCTGCTGGTGGGGTGGGTAGTGTTAGGATAGGGGAGGGGATGGAGACTGGAACTCAGCTGTCCCTGGATCCCTGCCAAAACCCTCTGTGCCTGGTGCCTAGGCCAGAAGGAAGACAGTATCCTCCTCAACAGGGGGCATCTGGTTGTAGTGGTGGGGTGACATCTTTTGGATTATTTTGTCACTGTGTGTGTGGCTAAGTGCTCAGTAAATGTTTGCTGAGTACACGAAGACCCAATACTGTTTTCCTTTTCCCTACTTCCTGCCTGACTTCTGTCTAACTTGAGTGGGTGAGGACTGGCCTCAGAGTGAAAAGGGCGCCGGGGAGCCAGGAGGGTGTCTCTCTGTGGCCTCTTATGAGCTGTTATGGTATCTTCTCAGCTTAGATTCGTACTGGTGCATGTTGAGACCAAACCCAGTCCCTCCCAGGATTATAAGCAGGGGTGGGCTAAGTGGCCTCAATGCCAAGAGGGGCAAGTTAGACAAGATGCAGGTGAGCCTCTGGCCAGAGCTTCCCCCTGGGGGTAGGGAGAGTTGGTAAAGAGGAGGCCCAGCGCACCTCACCTTTCCCAGGCAGCCAGGACAGCAGGCAACTTGGGAGGTGCCTGGAAATGAGCCCAGACCACAGAGTCCCGGGGACATCCAGCTCCTGCGATGGAGGGTAGGACCAGGCTTGGGGATTGAGGATTAAGTAGAAAGTTGACATTAAGTGTTGTTTTATTTTACTTTTAAATGTTATTGTACTTTATTGTTTCCTCCAGATTTTATTTTGAAAGATTTTAAATCTACAGAAAAGGATCAAGAATAATACAAAGAAGCATCCCATCACCTTTCACCTAGATTTGCTGTTTGTTACCATTTTGCCACATTTGCTGTCTGCTGAACCATTTGAGAGTGTCTATACTCTATTTAAAAAACATTCTGATTTCCTTTAGTTCAGCTTACTTACTTTTGGCTTTGGCTATAGACCAGGGTTGTCTTTAGGCTTGCTTCAGCACTTGGAAGTTATCTGGAGAAATCTTTCTGGGCTTCCTGGAAGAACCTGGATTTGTACCTCAGTCCTGCCCTGCCCTCAGTGCTTAGTCCAGACAGAAACAATGGTGTGGCTCCTGGGAGGGTCCCCGTAATATCTTATTATGAAGATTTTCAAAAGTAGAAAAAATTTTAGCATGATTCCCATATATCTACCACCTAAAGTCTATATTTAAATCTTGGAGGTTTTAAGCTGAAAGATCTTAAGCAGAGTTTTTGTGACAGAATTGGCTTAGCTGGCAGGTTACATACAGTTCCTGAATTCTACTCCTATAAGCCTGATTTCAGTCCCAAGGGTGGGAATTAAGGTAGATACCTTCTTAGAGAAGCTAAAACTTCATTTTAAGCTTTCTCCCTGCCCAACCATGGCTGACTCCAGCTTCCACTGGGGTAAGGGCTATAGCTGGGGCACACACAGGCAGACCACCCACTGGGCTGAGACCCTGTACAGCCTCTGAACATGGGAAGGTGGTGGGGGGTGTTTGGCATCTGGGCTCTGAGGACTTCCTAGCCCGGCTTTGCGTTGCAGGAGTGGAAGTGCCTGAAGTCATCAAGGACCTCTGCCGGAGAGCCTCCTACGTCAGCCCGGAGAAGATCTGGTAATCCCCTATCTGAGAATGTTGAAAGGAGTGGAAGGGAGTTGTCATTTTTCTCTCCAAAACTGCAGGGATCAGGGCCACCACTGGCCTATGCAATGCCTTCATACAAATTAGAAAAAAGATACCCTCTTTACTCTAGGCAGAGAAAACCCTGTGCCAGGGCAAGCAGAGAGGCCGTTGGATTTCAGCACTCACTCACTGCCTGAGCCACATGCCCTGTTGAAGGATACAGGCATATACAGTGTCCTCTGGTGGCTGAGCCACCAGATATGGCTCACTCTTTCATGGCCCCTCTAAGAACTCTGATCCTTCCTTGGCACAGTGGTTTTGGTGCCAGGCCAGGGAGGGGCTGCAGAGGATCAAGTGGTATCCCAAGGTCCTATCTCTTGCCTTTTCTGTCCTAGTCCTTCTCCCAGAGTGAGAGCCCGCTGCTCCCGCAGTGATGTCCAGACTGAGTGGACGCCACAGAGACTGCAGTGCCCCATGGACACAGACCCTCCCCAGGAGATTCGGCGGAGGTTTGGCAAAAAGTAAGCCTGCTCTTTCCCTTAAGCCAGGGCAGCTCATCCATTCCTTTGGCATACACACATCTATTATTTGGAACATTTCCACCTCCATGCTAAGGCTGGATTATGATAATTACAGTGTGGTGTCCCACTGATGAACATTACAGTAGTGGTAAGAGCAATGAGCTTCAGAACTCAAGGAACTGTCTCCTCTGCCTGGGAGGTCACAGACGCCTTCATGGAGGAGGCATCCCTTGAGTCTCCAGTAAAGGCTGATATGGTTGCCCAGTGGGAGTTTATTTTTATTTATTTATTTATCTTGCTTTTTTTTTTTTTTGGCCGAAGCCGAGTTTGAACCCGCCACCTCTGGCATGTGGGGCCCGAGCCTTACTCCTTTGAGCCACAGGCGCTGCCCCTCCCAGTGGGAGTTTAGAGCTACCGACTGAGAGAGGAGGGACTGTCTGAGTGTGAACAGACACTGGGGCGCTGGGGAATGCATTTAATGGGGGATGAAGTGACCACTTAGCAGGCCGTCCCTGCGCGGACAGTTTGCTTATTAAGTGCAGCACAGCCCTCAGGTCTGAACCCCGCTTTAGTGAGTCACTGGATGTCCCTTCCTTGGAAGCGGTGCCCTTCCCCCGCTACTCCGTGGATCCCCTCTGGGAAGCAGGACTCTGCTAGCTCTAGGTCCGATGGGAGCCCAAGGCTAAGGCTTCCTGTCTGCCAGGGTGACGTCTTTCCAGCCCCTGCTGTTCACTGAGGCACACCGAGAGAAGTTTCAACGCAGCCGTCGCCACCAGACTGTGCAGCAATTCAAGCGTTTCGTCGAGAACTACAGACGCCACATAGGTTGCGTGGCCGTGTTCTACGCCATAGCTGGAGGGCTGTTCCTGGAAAGGGCCTACTGTGAGTGACTTTGCTTATTGTAAGCCCAGGGGATATGCATAGTCCCGGGGTCTGGCTTATTGTGAATGCCGGGCATCCAGGGGCGGGGTTTCGACGAGTGACAGCCCTGGGCCGGCCTACGGTGGGCTCTGGCCACCAGGTGCCTGCCAGACGGAAGACTGTGCTGGGCAGGCCTGCTGTGAGTGGCGGCAGCCGGGACCGCAGTAGATGTCCCGCGTACTTGACCCCCGCACTGATCCTCCCTGGCCCACCTGGGTCCCCTCCGCAGACTACGCCTTTGCAGCACACCACATGGGCATCACAGACACCACCCGCGTGGGCATCATCCTGTCGCGGGGCACGGCGGCCAGCATCTCTTTTATGTTCTCCTACATCCTGCTCACCATGTGCCGCAACCTCATCACGTTCCTGCGAGAGACCTTCCTCAACCGCTACGTGCCCTTCGACGCCGCCGTGGACTTCCATCGCCTCATTGCCTCCACTGCCATCGTCCTCACAGGCAGGCCCTAGGTGTCCCGGGGATTCTCTCTGTGTCCTCCCGCCCCCTGCTGGCTCCCCCCTCCTCCCCCGCCTGTACTTACCTTTAATATGAGTCTTGGATATCCTTCTTAAAAGGAGGCCATAGACAGCAGACCAGGGCCATGGTGTGAAGTAAGCCCCGCACTGCCCAACAGTGCCTCTTCCCACACTGGCCAGGGCACCTCACCAGCCTATAGCTGACAAGTTACTAACACCCTAGAATGACTGCAGATAACATATTATCTTTCCCAGTGTTTATGTTTTGAAATATGTCTCTGCGACAAAAACCAAAGAATGAACTTCTAAGGTCTAATTTCTGACCCATATGGTTGTGTTATGGATGGTGTGTACAGGGGAAGACCAGGAAAGTGATTAGAAGTCAGAAGCTCAGCTCCCTAGGCTTTCTTCAGGCCCTGAACCCCATCTGACCAGGGTCCTCTATCTTGAGCCAAATGAGTTGAGCACCCCCACTGGGCTCACCACCCATCTGCTCTTCCTTAGTCTTGCACAGTGCCGGCCACGTGGTGAATGTGTTCCTGTTCTCCATCAGTCCACTCAGTGTCCTCTCCTGCCTCTTCCCCGGCCTCTTCCACGATGATGGGTGAGTGTGTGTGTGTGCACGGTAGAAGGATTCCTTGCATGTGGAAAGAAACAAACTCCCTTGGCTCAGAAGAGAGTGTCACCTTCCAGGTTATGAGGCAGACAGTGTCTGGCCTGAGACCCCAACCCCAAGTCAGCATAAGGGGAGATTGGTAGCGAGGTTGGGGTGCCTCCCCTAGAAGGTCCTCTCTGGAAGTCCCAGAGATCTCCTCTCAGAGTGCTTTTTTCTTCAACACAGGTCTGAGTTCCCCCAGAAGTATTACTGGTGGTTCTTCCAAACTGTTCCAGGTGAGAGCCCTCCCTGCTCTGTGAATTTCTGGGCCTGACACTGAGCTCAAGACTCTAGATTCTGTCTGCCATGCAGCAGCCCAGACACTTACTCAGCTCTCACAGTGAGCCAGGCTCTGCCCTCTGGCCCTGAGGACACTCCTGGGCAGTAGGAGACTTAGGCTCTTCTGCATTCCACCCTCTTCCCAGGAGCTTAGCTGGTTCCCGTCCTACTCTGGACTATTTCCAGTGTAATGAGAGTGGACCCCCTTGCCCCAACCACTATGACAGTAGCTTTGAAGAATGCTTTGAGGAACACTGTATCCCAGCTGCATGGGGGAGGGATCTTAATCAGTCCAGACAGAGTCATCCACTCCCCGTAGTATGTCTTGACAAAGGCCATTTAGGGACATATTCCTAACTCTCTATAATCACCTATTTTAGAGCTATTAGCTGTGAATTTGTTCAAACTTTTCTTGAACCTATTTATATTTTCAGTCTGTTCCCTCCTTGAGGTAACACAATTTCTATGCTAGCTCCTCTCTGTGAAGGAGAGGGTTTTTATTTATTTATTTTTAATCCTAAAACGATCTGCTTTGAACTTCAGAGGGTGCTTGCTAATTCCTGCACACTGGGGTTTAGTGGATAAGCCTGTGTTGATGCCCTCTTCTCTGTTCAGGACTTTATAGGCTTTGGTTAGATCCCTTCTTAACCTTTGCTTTTTCATACTGCTGAGCTCTAATCTTCCTAATTTCTGCCTCTCTCCTCCTTGATCATTCTCTCTACCCATACTGCCCTGACTGCAGTTCTGTCTTCCTGTATATCTACAGCCTGGGATCCCCTGATGAGGAGGGGCATCCCACCAACTCTGAGCTGTACTATGGTGCTCTGGTGATAGCAGGGACAGTGTGGCCCCATCCAATCACTAAGAGTGCCAGTGCTCATGCTGTGTTCTGTGGTGGCAAGTGGAGCAGTGCAGGAGCCAAGTTTTGACTCCATGAAGGCAGGGCCTACAATTCCCAGTGTTTGGCCCAGACGACCCAGAGTGGATACTCTGTGAGTTCATTTATTCAGCACACATTTATATAAGGCCCACCATGTTCCAGGCCCCACACTAGGCACTGGGATTTAGTGGTGAACTAGCCTAGCCCTGTCCCTGTTCTTGTGGACCTGAGAGTCACCTGAGAAGGTGACAGACACAAAACAAATGATGATATGGGTAAAAAATAACCATGGTGACAAGGGCTATAAAGGATGAATAGGGTCTATTGAAATAAAGGTACCTATGATCAGCAGTGCTGGGGGGAGAGAAACAGAGGGGGAGTCTGGGATTTTCTTGTACCCAGTTTGGGCAATGGAATGGAGAGGGGAGATGCCTCACAACAGGTTCCTCTGCAACTCACTGCTCCTCTGTCCACCACCTCCTTGTTTACTTTGCAGGCCTCACAGGAGTTGTGCTGCTCCTGGTCCTGGCCATCATGTATGTCTTCGCCTCCCACCACTTCCGCCGCCGCAGCTTCCGGGGCTTCTGGCTGACCCACCACCTCTACATCCTTCTCTACGTCCTGGTGAGGAATTCTGGCTGTGAGTCAGACCAACAGGGTATGGACAGAACGTTTCCAGGAAGCCAGTGAGGGTTGAAACATTCCTTCTCCATCCCCTTAGCTATTTCGAATATCCTCTTCACCTCTTGGCACCCTGTTTGAAGATAGGGATTATAGTATGGGGCTCTCCTATAGTCTGACCCCAACATGCAGCACTTGGGAGACTGCCTCCCTGGTGTGGATTTTGCAGTAGCCATCCTACCAGCCTGATCTATATCCTTGCAGACACCCCTACATCACTTCTGCCCAGCCGATCTTTCCCAGCTTTGGATGGCTGGTGGTTTTTTTTGAGACAGAGCCGCAACCTGTTGCCCTGGGTAGAGTGCCATAGCATCACAGCTCACAGCAACCTCCAATTCCTGGGCTCAGGCAATTCTCTTGCCTCCGCCTCCCAAATACCTTGGACTACAGGCGCCCACCACAACCCCTGGCTATTCTTTGGTTGAAGCTGTCATTGTTTGGCAGGCCTAGGCTGGATTCAAACCCTCCAGCGCAGGTGTATGTGGCTGGTGCCTTAGCTGCTTGAGCCACAGGTGCTGAGCTTGGATGGCTGGTTTTGACTCCTGGGTAGACTGCCTGCACCCAGAGGACCATCATCCTTTTTAGGGAAACTTATCCTAAATGTACTTTGCCCCCTTTGTTCCAATCTTATCTTGGGGGGCATTAGCCACACCACCCAGCTAACTGCTATCTATACAGTAGATGAGCTTGTTCAAAATGTCTTCAGTTGGATTGCTGATAAAATGGCTTTTTAAGACTTGACCTATTTCTTTCTTTTTAACCATGGCTGCCACCTGCCTTCCTTCTCATTCCCATCCTGCTCCTATTCCCTTCACCCTCCCTTGGGTCTCTCAACCCAACCTGACTCTGACTGTCCTTGTGTTGTGGCCTCATGAACACAGGGAGTTCCCTAGGTTTAGCCATGTCAGTTTGGCTGTCAGCATTCAAGGAGACCAGAGCCCATATGGCTGCCCTCTTGATTTCCAGGCAGAACTTTACACAGGCATCTCCTTTGTCCTGAGACAAAGAAAGGTGTACCTTTGCCTTAGTCAGGCTGGCTCCCGCCTCCTCTCTGGTGTCCTCTTGAGAAGTAGGAGGGTCTGTTTCATCTTGTTTGTGGCTTAGCATTTCGTGTTTCTGAAGATGATTACTCAGCTTTGGCTTAGGATGTTTTCTAGAACTGATGATGTTTTTTTTTCCAAAGAAATCTCCCCCTTTTTTGAAAGCTATGGCTAATTTACCCTCCCTCCTCACTTTCCCAGTAATGGGCGGAGCCCTGGGCTACTACTTCTTTGGGGGTGGAGAAAAATGTTCTTTTTCTTTCCCAGTTTGGCTTCTTTGAATTTAGTGGGAGACCCAGAAGTGTTGCTATCCTGGCTCCCTGAGACCAAGAGCCCTTTCTGACTTAGCTCTGGGTTGTGAGTATCACTGGGAAAGTGAGGAGCTCAGAGAGGTACAGCCCACTCTGCTGGGCAGTCCTCGCCTGGCATCTTAGGGGTATCATTCCTCAGGGCAGATCAGAGCAAAAGCATTCTCTTCCTTCCCACTTATCCCAGATGTGGCCATTGACTTCAGACAGAAAGAGAAGTTAATAAGAATCCCAGTGTAGAGCAGACCCTGGGAAGGATATCTAGGCTCCCAATCCAGGCTACAGAGGGCAGGGCTAGCATAGCAGAGGCTGAGCTGGCTGGCTGCCCCACCACCCTGGCCCTTCAGCCAACCAGGAATCTGCTGCAGCTTTGTGGTTTTAAGACAAATGCCAACACAAAATGGGGTGTATAAGCAGAGGAGCGTGAGGTCACCCTAACATTGTACTCAGCCTGGTTGGGTCCTCAGAAAGCCAGGAGGGTGGCTGTGTGCTCCACAATGAAAGAGGAATTTGGGGATAGCAGAACCAGTTAAGAGAAGAGCTCAGAGAAGTTTAAACATTTAAGTTAGTCTTGTGGGGAAAGTTTCAAGAATTTGGGAACACTAAGCTGGGGAAAGGCATTCCTGAAAGAAGGACCAGAGTTCAGTTTGACACAGTATGGCTGGGTATGATGGCTCACACCTGTAATCCTAGCACTCTGGGAGGCCAAGGTGGGTAGATTGCTTAAGCTCAGGAGTTTGAGACTAGCTTGAGCAAGAGCAAGATCTGTCTCTACTAAAAATAGAAAAACTAGCAGGGCATGATGGCATGTGCCTGTCATCCCAGCTACTTGGGAGGCTAAGGCAAGAGGATCATTTGAGTCCAAAAGTTTGAGGTTGCTGTGAGCTATAATGATGCCACGGCATTCTACCCAGGGCAACAGAGTGAAAACAAAACAAAACACATATCTGTTAAGGGTCTATAATGTACTAGCTCTGTGTGAGGCCCAGCAGTGGACAAGGAGACTCTAACCCCTACCCTCAGGGATTTAGGATTTGCTGCAGAGTTAAGTTCCACATGCATGAAATGATCAAAATGAACATGCAATATGGGATTAATTGCTGAGCAGAATGTTTCAAACAGTAAGTTATAGGAGCTCGTCGAAGGGAGTTTCATTTGGGCTGAACTGGTTAGGGCAGACTTCAGGGAGAAAATGGGACTTGGGCCAAGACTTTGGGAGGGCAGCTAAGCTTTGATAGGGCAGAGTGGAAACTAAAGAGCAATCCAGGTAGAAGGAAGGGCATGGGGACTGGTGCAGAAATGGGAATGGACACTTGGGGCAGAGGGGACAGGCCTAGCTGTGGATGGCCACAGGGCACCAGGTGGTGGGAGAACATGCTGTGGCTCAGTGGAGAGGCCACCCCACATGGCAGAGCATAGAAAGAGAAGAGCAGTCTTGGGCAACACCTATCACTAGGGGTGGAAAAAGGAGTGGAGCCAGCAGTAGAGACAGAAAGTAAGTGGCTTAAGAGGCAAAGAGGGAGAGCCAGTAAAGCAACACAGCCAAGGTGGGGTGGTCGCTAGTGCCGCAGGCTGTTAAGAGTGAAAGAGTGAATAGAGTCTGAAGAAAGCCCTCGGAGTTTGACTATTTATGAGGCTGGTGAGCCCTCAGGGGGCCAGTCCTAAGGAGAGGTGAAGGTGGAAGCCAGATTTACCCAGACTCAGGAGCAAGCAAGTGGGAAGAATCGGGCTAATGTCTGCCCAAATTAGACAAACTTAGCAGGGAAAGGATGGGAGCTGGACAATACCTGTCAGCTATTTCATAGAAAGAGAGGACTAGTTAGGTGTTCTTAGCCTCCAAAAGGAGAAGATCAAGAGGGAAACTCCATTCCCCAACAGTTAGGGAGTGCCTACCATGTGTCAGGCGGGAACTGCTAGCAGCTGGGAGGATAGTAGCAAACAATCCCTACCCCTTCAGTCCATTGGGGGAAACAACAGGAGACTTGTAAGTGAATGAGCAAGCACATAATTATGGATGATGACAAGTGCTCCAAGGGAATTAACAGGCAGAGGTGACAGAAAGGACTGAGGGAGGGCCTGAGGAGGTGGTGTTTCTGCTGAGACCTGAGAAATGAAATGGAGCTAGTCATGAGAAGAACAGGGGAAGGCGTTCCAGCAGGTGGAAAGGTCTTGACGCAGAAAGGACTTGCCACGCTTGAGGACCAGAGAGGAGCAGGTGGCTAGTAGGCAGAGGTCAGACTACAGCACTGAGGTGCAATGAATGGAAAAGTTACTTGAGATTTTTAAGCTGGGGATGATATGATAAAATGAACTTTAAAAAGTTCCACTGGTGCCTTGAAGAGATGAGATTACAGTAGAGTAAGACCAGTGGAAGGTCTGCTTCCACTGGAAAGCTCCTGGATGAGTCAAGGTGAGAGGCAATGTGGCTTGGTCTAGGGTGGTGTCCCGAGGTGGAATATAGCCTCATTCCTCATGAAATGCTTTGGAGGATGGAGTTGGGAGTGGTGAGGTCTGGGAACCTGGAAGGAGCATGGTACATAGTGAGGTTTAGTTGGCTATACCAATAGGGAAGGATGTGGGGTCTAAGGCCTGAGCTGGCCTAATACCCTGTTGTGGGTACCACTGGGTCTGAGCTGAACTCTTTCCTCTATCCAGCTCATCATCCATGGCAGCTTTGCTTTGATTCAGCTGCCACGTTTCCACATCTTCTTCCTGGTCCCAGCACTCATCTATGGAGGGGACAAGCTGGTGAGCCTGAGCCGAAAGAAGGTGGAGATCAGTGTGGTGAAGGCGGAGCTGCTGCCCTCAGGTACCAGCCTGGAGGCTCTCAGGGGACCAATTTTGTGGCACTGAGGTTGCTGATAAGGCAGGGGCAGAACCTGGACCAGGTAGTAGGGACAAGGAAGCTAGTAAGAGGAACCTTTGCCAGAGGACCTCAGCCTCTCTCATCACAGAAAGCCCAGGCCAGGCTTCCCCTTACCCTAATGACCATACCCCCAGTGTTGCCCAGCCTTTCTCAGGGTTCTGGTGGGGGAGGCCTCCCTTGTCATATTCCAGAAGCAGAGCTGAGGCTGCAGGTAGGGGAGCTCTCTGGAGGCCACATTGTTGCTAGGTTCAAGGCAGCAGCCTCTCACCCACCATTTCTCCCTAGGAGTGACTTACCTGCGGTTCCAGCGGCCTCAGGGCTTTGAGTACAAGTCTGGGCAGTGGGTGCGGATCGCCTGTCTGGCTCTGGGGACCACTGAGTACCACCCCTTCACACTGACCTCTGCACCCCATGAGGACACCCTTAGCCTGCACATCCGGGCAGCAGGGCCCTGGACCACTCGCCTCAGGGAGATCTACTCACCCCCAATGGGTGACAGATGTGCCAAATACCCAAAGGTGCCTAGACCCAGGCCACATGTGCTACATGTTCCCACATCCCCTTTGCAGGCTTTGGCTCTGCAGCGCCAGACTTCTGTGTTCTGCCCTGCCCTTCATCTGGAGACTGGTTGTTCCAGATAATGCCACAGCTCTACCTGGCTCTCCCCACTCCATAAATCTATATGCCTTTCCCTGCCTCTCATTTCTGGCTTCAAATCTATAGTGACGGCCAAGCTTAACTTAAACCCATTCCCCTCCCTACAGCTGTACCTTGATGGACCATTTGGAGAGGGCCACCAGGAGTGGCATAAATTTGAAGTGTCAGTGTTGGTGGGAGGGGGCATTGGGGTCACCCCTTTTGCCTCCATCCTGAAAGACCTGGTCTTCAAGTCATCAGTCAGCTGCCAAGTGTTCTGTAAGAAGGTGAGTAGCCCTCTTCCACAGCCCATAGCCCCTTCCTCCTGATCATGATAACCCCTGTGTCTCTTTCTCCTGCCTCTGTTCCTGGCCTCTCAGATCTGGGCAAGGGCAAGTTGACCTGAAACCGAGGTTGGTGGCAGGTAGGGAGGTGTCAGGATATCTCCAGACACTGAAGGGTAGGATTGGTTGGCTGATGCCTCCAGGCTCCTGCCTAGTTTACAAAGACATCTTCCCTTAGTTATGGGGTGCTCCATGTAGGATTTGTTCCTGGGAATCCCTCTAGGCAGGGTTAGAGGGAGATAAAGAAACACAGTTCCTCTTACAGGCCAGTACTTGGAGCATGTTGGGCTGGGAGAGGGAAGGGCATGCTTGGGGTGGGGCGCATGTGAAACAGGCTCAGCTCCCAAGTGGAAGAGGAGGGGAAGGCAAGGCAGGGCCAATGGGCCAGGTTGAACCAAGAACACAGCCCAAGCCCTTAGGCCCCTCCACACTGGGCCCCTTCACCCCAACTTGGACCTGGTGGCAGGCCCCTGCTCGTCTCTGGGCCTGGCCTGTGAGTCAGGGATGCCGGAATGCAGCGGGCAAAGGCCCAGCCCACATGCTGTCAGCACTCAGAGGTGACAGCTCCCCTCCTCTCCTCTGCCTCAGCTTCTTAACCCAGACAGCCCTGCTTCTCCCTCTCAGAAGCTGGAGAGGGCTCCCCCCAGGACAGCTTCCACCCCACCCCCCACCCCTTTGAGCCCATTCCCATCTGCCCCAGGCAGCTGGCTAGGTCTTGCCTGAGGCTATTCCGTGAAATGCCCCTTGGCCTCTAGGTCCTGGCAGCCTATGCAGGGCCCACTGGAGTGGTAGGACAGGTTCAACAAGCAAAAGCTGCTTTCTACTCAATAGACCCTCAGCTTTTGCCTTTTGCAGAGCCCTGGGCTATCTGTCACTTCCTCTTCTCAGTGCCCTGGATAACTTCATCTCTCGCCTCAGAGCCTGGCACTGTGGCCCACACACTCCATCTTGCTGGGCTGTCTGGGGAGGGGCAGGAGTTGGCTGAGGTCAGAAGAGTTCTGGTGGTACAGAAATCCCTGGGATCTAGGAAGACTGAGCTGAATGAGTCTTGAGCTCCAGCTGTGTGTCCTGTCCCCAGATCTACTTCATCTGGGTGACGCGGACCCAGCGGCAGTTCGAGTGGCTGGCTGACATCATCAGGGAGGTAGAGGAGAATGACCACCAGGACCTGGTGTCTGTGCACATCTACATCACTCAGCTGGCTGAGAAGTTCGACCTCAGGACCACTATGCTAGTATGTCAGGGCTGGCCAGGCAGGGCAGGTGGGTCACCATCTGAACTTGGAAGTTGACCCTGGCTATATCTGGCTGGACTTTCTCCCATCCCTGTCCCCTAGTACATCTGTGAGCGGCACTTCCAGAAGGTGCTAAACCGGAGTCTGTTCACGGGTCTGCGCTCTGTCACCCACTTTGGTCGACCTCCCTTTGAGCCCTTCTTCAACTCCCTGCAGGAGGTCCACCCACAGGTCAGTCTCACCTCAAATCCCAAGGTTCTGTTCACCATTATCATTTGGGATCTGAGCAAAGCTTCCAAACATGCTCATCAGGGAAAGAATTGGCTGCTGATGAAAACCCATCCTATGGCAGATTGGTGAGGTGACAGAATGAAGGATAGGTAGGGGTCACCCAAAGGTGCTAAGGGAGGAGGCAGGCAATAGGGACTTGTCACCTCTGGAGCCATGATGCACTGTTCAGAAGGAAGAGCTCAATAATTGAGCTAGTCCTTGTCATAAAGTCAGGACTACCCTCACCATTAATACTGAGCCAGCTTTCCCCTAGACACTGAGTTAATCTTCACAGAACATTGGGCTTAGCCCCTATCCTCATAAAGACTGGTTGTCCCACATCTTGAACATTGATTAACCCTTCCCCTACTAGAAGATGCTGATTAGGACTTACTAAAACTAGCTAGACTTATAAACATCAAGCCCCTCACCAAGCATGGGACAAAGTAAACTTTCCTCAGGGGGACTAAATGAGCCCTCACCACAGGCTCCTGTTGGTCTTTAATGTAAACTCTGAGCTAGCTCTGCCTCCAAACAACCAGCCAGCCTTCCTGTCTTCCTTCCGCAACAGGTTCGGAAGATTGGGGTGTTTAGCTGTGGCCCCCCTGGCATGACCAAGAATGTGGAAAAGGCCTGTCAGGTCATCAACAGACAGGACCGGACTCATTTCTCCCACCATTATGAGAACTTCTAGGTCCCCTGCCCAGAAAGGTTTGGGCCTACACCTCACCGCTGTACTTTTTGTTTCTGGCTGTATCAGTCTCCCTTTCCACCTCCCAAACTTGGTACAGGTGGCCATGGTCAGTCACCATATGTGGGCTCAGGAACCCCCAGGTCCAGAATGTCTCAGCCTGGAGAAATGGGGGGCACTCTCTAAGGAGTAGAGGTTGGGAAGTGAAGGAGCTATTGGTTAGGGGCAAAGCACAGCCTCTTCTTCCAATCTATAAAAGACAAGCTGACAAGTAGTGTGTGTGTGTGTGTGTGTGTGTACACATGTGTAGGGGGTTATGAGCCTAAGGATGAAGTGGGAGCACAGATGCTAGCATCTTAGAGCCCTCCCTATTCCCAGACCTCCTCCTCTTCTGGCCTTCCCACTTTCAGAAGGGCTGGAAAATGCCTTGAGGAGGTAGAGGCTGGACCTAGGACAAGCAATTTGCAGAACCCTCCCCCCGCCCAGCATCTCAGCTAACAGCACAATTAATTTCTTTACTGGAGCCCTTTACTCCAGTAGTCCTTTACAAACAAATCACTTTTCTGCCTTCAAGGTTTTTTTATTCTGCCCCAGGATAGGGTGGGGAGCCAGCAGAGGAAACCACACACCTAGCTCATCAGACACCTCTCTGAGCTTGCCAGTATTCACTAAGGAACCAGCCCACAGCTAAGTGCCCCAGTTGAAGACCTTTCCCTGGTCCAAAGGTGCCCTTCCTGATAGAGGGCATCATAGTGTGAGGGCTCTGAACCCTGCTGAAGGGGCAGAATAAGGGCTGGGGTTCTCTAGAGGAGGGGGGTTCTGGCAAAGGTGGGCTGGGCAGAGAAGAGAGTAGGGGGTGGGCACAGGTGGAGCCTGTAGGAAGCCACAGCAACCTGGCTTGCTCCAGGAGGTAGAGGCTGGACCTAACAGACCTTTTCTGAGAAATGGGACAGTGGGGCACCTGTGCCTGCATAGATCTTCCAGGCAGTGAGGAGACAGATGAGCACATTACCTAACCTCTTAGAGCCTGTTTCCTAATCTGCAAAACAGCTGGATGCTCTCCAAGTCTACTTAAACATAAGGTAACCTAGGCTGGCCCAGTGGCTCACACATGTAACCCTAACACTCTGGGAAGCTGAGGTGGGTGGATTGCTTGAGCTCAGGAGTTCGAAACCAGTCCCAGCAAGAGCCAGACCCCCCCCCCCATCTCTACTAAACAAAACAAAATAAAAACAAAATAGAAAAACTAGCTGGGCCTAGTGGCACACTTCAGTAGTCCCAGGTACTCCAGAAGCTGAGTCAAGAGGATTGCTTGAGCCCAAGAGTTTGAAGTTGCTGCATGCTATGACATCACAGCACTTTGCCTGGGGCGACAGCGACTCTGTCACCCCCAACCCCCAAACAAACAAAACCAGGAACCACAGGGCAACCCTGTGGGAGAGAATTTCTGAAACTGTGCCTAATTTCAAGTGAATCTTTCTATTGTCCCCGCAGAATACCTACATTTATCAGATCACACACCCTCAATTTCGAGAAAATAGCCAGTGGATTAGAAACTCCCAAGTCCTGCCATTCACAGCACACTTAGGTTGCACCTTCAGGTCCTGGAAGAGGCCCTCAGTCCGTCCCCTGAGGGCGTGGGAGCAGGAGGGCGAGCCCGAGCTACCCTGCGAGTTCGCGCCACGGGCACCAGCAGGGGCGTAGCCAGGCCGCAAGCGGGCGTGGCCCCGCGCGCCGGGCGTGCAGTTAGAGGCACGGCCCCCAGGGGGCGCGCACGGCAGCCCGGGCCGCAGGTTTCCCGGAAACCGACGCATCCGTCAGGGCCCGCGGAGGAAGCAAGCGAGGATTCCGCGGACCGCCCCGCCAGCCTTCCCGCCTCCGCGGGCGCGCGGCTTCCGCGTGGCACTGCCGGCCCGCTCCCTCCCGCCTGGCGCACTGCCTCTTTGTCTCTCCGCGTCTCCCCTCCTCCTAGCAAATGGCTGTTGGCAGGAAATTGGACGAGTTCTAGGGGAGCGGCACTCAGCGGCGCGGCGGGGAAGGGTGCCACAGCGCCGGCGGGCCTCGGGTGTCCCTACCCCGGGTGGGAGCAGCGGGGGATGTTTTGACATCTCGTCAAAGAAAGAACTTGATGCTTCGAAAGTGCTTTCCACGGGCGGCCTGTGTCTGCTCCAGAGCTGATTTATAATCAGAATCTGTGCTCGTTTCGCCGCTCCCTCCCCCGTCAGCCTGGGGGCGGCGCCGGAGGTGGGGACGCAGCAGTGCCCGGCAGGACTGGGTTTATTTATTGCCTCTGGCCCGGAGCCGGGCGGCCCGGGGGCTGCGGTTCCCTCGGGCTAAGCCCTTCCCCATCCACTAGGGCTGTCTCCATCCCAGGGGACTGCCAGACTCTGGGCGGAGCCCTCCGGTGGTTTGGGGGTGGAGGGCGAGGATGAGGTCGTTGCCTCTGCCTTAGGGTCGGTAAGCTGGAGCTGCCAATCCTAAAGTCCCCAGGACACCCTGGCTCTGGAGCCCCTCCTCCAGAGGCTCTGCTTTCTCTCCGGGTAACTCTAAGGTTCCAGCAGCCCTTCCTCTTGAGAAAATAAATTAAAGAACCTCCAGCTTCTATTCGATCTCAGGGGAAGGGGAAGAAAGGTTCGAGAGATGGATTGATCGAGTCCCTGTGAAGAGCCCCAGCCCTCAGCCAGGTGATCAGCACAGGGCTGGGTTCAGGTCTATCAATGCCCTGGCTTCACATCTAAAGAGTCCGGATGGCCACGGGGTAGAGCAGGGACATATGTTCGGCCCCCTTAATGGGCAGCTTGCGGCTGGCATAGTGGTGCACGATTTCAGGGACGCTGCTGAAGGGCGGGCTGTTCTGGCCCAGCACGTATTTGTGTTCCTTGGTCCGGGACAGCTTCATGTGCATGAAGCCTTGACTGCTCCTGGGAAGTGGAGAGGAGACCCTGGTGAGTTTGGGCTCTCCTCACTCCCCAACTCACTCATCCAGTAACCCTCCCCACCGTTACAGCAGGGTGGTGGTTCCAAGCCAGCTGAAAATAGGGAGGTGGAGGTCAGTGCAGACTGCAGGGTGGTGGTGGTGGTATGAATAGGTAGCATTAGGCATTGACTTTGTGGTAAGAGCACTGGGTGTGCCACAAATGTGTGTGCAGTGAGTGTACGGGGTATGTGCAGGTGGAAACTGGAGTGAACAGTAGCCCCTAACCCTGGGGTCCAGGCATCCCTACCTTCCAGCCTATATGGCAAGGGGTATGACACTTGTGAGGGGCTGCTGGTGGCCCTGGGCAGGAGGATGGGATGACAGATGTGACAACCAAGCTAGTTTTGGTTCTCTCCCTTGCAAAGACTAGGGGAAGAGACAAGCCAATGTGTAGTGCTCCCAAAATCTGGGAATGCTCACCTACCTCCTCCTGAGGACATCCCTTCACCCTGTTGCTATCGGGCCTGGGGCCAGCATCCCCCATCCCTCTAATCATCTACCTGGCCCTTTAGCCTAGAATGACATCATTCCCTTCCTGAGAGAGGATCTGCTCATGCTCCACTGCCTTGCAACTCCCTGACACACCCAGGATATCAGCATGAGTGCCTGGCCCTGCTCTCAAGAAAAGGACCCCACTGCTCAGAGCTCTGGACAGCTCTTAAATGTCCAGAAACCATGAGTCTTGGAGAGAGGGGATGGAGATAAGGGCCCTCAGCAAGAATATCTGTCCTAACTACCACTGGTTTGGTGTCCTTGGCCCCTCTGAGACTTACACACAGGCAAAGGATAAGGAATGTTTGGTGGGTTCCTGACGCCTGAGCCTGCTGCTGGCCAGACTCAGGGGACAATGCCAGGGCTCAGAGGCCGGTGTGAGAAGCACAACTGGTGGTGGTGGTGGAGGGGCTGCTCACCCCTGAGAAGTGAGGCTGGCAAACCTTATCACCTGCCTCCCTTGCCTGGCCCCATTTCTAGGCCCACAAGTGAGAAAGCCAAGAGTGAAAAGGCTAAAGGGAGGAGAGAGATGGAAGGAAAAGTCAGGCCCCTAACACCAGCCCTCTGCCTCTCCTCAGGGCATGGTGTTCTGAAGCCTTAGTCAGGAGCCCAGCAGCCTGCTGGAAAAAGGCCTGGGGACCCCATGGCTGGGTGTGTCAGGGTGTGAGGCCATCTGGAGGTCTAAGATAACTGAGGCTTACAGTGACCACATAGGCCTTGGGGGTAAGAAGCTAAGGGCCCCAGGTAAACATAAAGCCCCCATGGCAATGCAGAGGGCAAGGGACCTAGTAGGCACCCTCCCCCAATCTGCCCTATGCCAAGGCCCAGGCCACGGCTGTGGGCAGCAGCATGGGTCCTTCTCTCACCTTTTGCCAGTTTGAGGATGACCCTCCCCGCACTGTCCACTTTGGGGATGGCCACTTCTGAAAGCTGTTTGTTATATTTTTTCCTGGCCAAGAAAGGCAACAAGTGGCCAGAGAGCCCAACTTCCATCTGTGTAACTGACCTCCTGGGAGAAAAGGATGGCTCTGCTTGCCAACCTTCTGGGACGACATCTCAAGAGCCCTCAAGAGCCCATTAGGATACAGCAAAACCTTGCCAGAGCCTCAGACCCTAGGTCTGGGGTGGGACCAGCTGGCCCATAGGGCCAGGCCAGCAAGGCTTTTTGAGGAAGTTGTTTAATTACCAGTGAAAGCCCTTCCATTAGGGAGAAAAGAGAAACCATAATTGTATTTCAGAGAAACCATTTATATGCAAACAAGGCTCTGGCAAACAGATGCTGGCTGGCTAGATCTGCCAGGGCAGGAACTGACATCCAGGCCTGCCTCCCCTTTTTTCTCCTCAGGCTAAGGCAGGGGCCTGCTGGGGTGTACTCCGTCCCAGGATCCAGACCTCTAGCATCTACCCTGGTCTTGGTTATACTGCACTTGATGAGGGGTGAAGCCCTGCAAGGGAGTAAATAGCTTGGTTTGTGAAGTTAGACAGAGCTGGGTTCAAATCCTGATTTTGGAGCTTTATTAGCTGGTGGCCTTGATTAAGTCACAAACCTCTTTGAATTTATTTTTTGTCTATAAAAAGAGATCTGTCATGCAGGATGGTTTGGAGATTGTATATACTGCTTGGTATGCTCCATGAATTTTAACTATAATTTTTAAAAACAATACATGTTCTTGAAGTTATATAAATTAATTTTTTGACAAATGCATTTTTCTGAAATGCTCTTTGATTTTATAATTTACAGACTCCTAGAGTATGAGAGCTGGAAGAAATCTAAACAATATCTATCAACTTACTTTACAAAGGGAAAAATGGAGGCCCGGTGAGGATTAAGTGATTTGCCTAGTTTTATAAAACCCAAAAATAGAACTCAAGTTACCTGACTAAAGTCTGGCACTTTTTCTCTTATCTTTTAGTGAAGTTGAATAATTATCCCCCCAAATGTATCTGGTATGATAGTCCTATAGTTCCATAAATTTGATTTGTTTGAAGTGAGGGGTATTTGAATGCTCCTAAAAGAATGTGGTAGGATGTGGATGTGGTACAGATGCCTCAGTAGTGAGGTGGGTGGGTAAATGGACATACCACCCCAACTGGCTGCTATGTGGGTCAGAGTGCAAGCTCTACCAGGCAGAACTCCTGGTTGCCATGGCGAGGGCTGGCCATTTACCAGGGTGCCCAAGGAAGCTGATGCTAGACTGTGCATAACTGTTTGAACAAAGGAAAGCTGATGGTAAGGGATGGTCCTGCCTCCCCCACCTCTTCCAGTATACTTTTAGAGCTCAGACACCCACCCACCCCAACCCTCCACACTTCCCTGGATAAACAGGAATAGCTTCTATCTGCTGTCCTGCCCCGTCTCAGGACCCACCCTACATCTCACCCAGTAGACTCCCTCAGCAAAGCTCCTATCCCCTTGCCTGTGCATTCAGAATATCTTAGACTCCCATTCACAATGATTATTGTGGTAATTCATTGAGCACTCAGCACCATGCTAAAGTGCTTCCTGTGTATTATCTCATTTAATCCTTTCTATGTTACTATTCTCCCATTTTATTAGTAAGGAAACTGAGAACTAGAGGCTAAAGGGACACCAGATCCTCCAGTAGACTCAGCTCCTTAAGAACAGGGCTGAGTCTCAGATATCACAGGATCTGGTGCCTGGGGAGTAGGGATAGACCGGCTAGGTGGGGCATGAGGGCAATATTGGAGGGGACTCATGTTCTGTACTTGTGCCCCTACCCACAGCCTCTGCACTCACTTGAGAGAGAGGGAGAAGTCATTCTTGCTGGTTTCGCTGTTGCGCACCAGGTAGCTGGCCTCTTTGCACAGCCGAAGCAGGTTCTCGGCGTCTGTTCGGCTGATGGCCCCGTGATACCAGCTGAGGATGAGAGAGAGGAGGAGCATCTCTGCTGGGTCCCTCACTGTCTGGGCCCACCCATGCTGGGTGTCCCTTGCAGGGAAGCCAGTGCCAAGAGGGAAGGAGAGGGGAGGGAGTCCCCAGCTGGACACAGACACTCACACCTGGTTTTCCAGAGGCAGTGCTGGATCTGTCCACTCCCCCAGAGGACTGCTGGGCTCCAGGCTTAGGGGCTTGGCTGACTTGGGGTTCCCTGCAGAGTGTCTGGGAGGTAGCCGCCCCTTCTCCTCCCGGACAGGTGACAGGCAGCTCTTCTCGGATCCTTCAAACTGGGCTGTGGGGAACATACCGATCATGGACTCCGAGGACCCTAGAGGTACAGCCCTACTGAATAGCTGGTGCTATGCCCCTACTTCCTCCACTCCCCCAAAGGATGAGAGGAATATTCTTGGGGGTAGCCCATGCTCAGGGGCCTGACTGACTCTAGGGACATAACCCTGGGTCCAATCCCTGGTGGGGGTGGGGCTCAGCCCCACTGCACCACACAGGCCTCCCAGTCTCCACCCTAGGGGAGGAGAGGTGAGAGGAAGAACATGAGAAACCACTTAAGCTTCTCCCTCTAGAGCAGCTGACTGCCTTCCTTTATTCCATCCCCCTCAGGGTGGCTTCAGTGCTGATAATATTGTTTCTTTCTTCTCCTCAGAGTTCATTACTGTTCTCCAAATCACCCTGCCAAGCCATTCTGTAGAAATGACTTATCGATCTAAGAACAATTATCCGATTCCCCTTGGTGCCATCCTGACAGGCTAATCCTGCCCAAAGCCGCCAGCCACTGGCCAGCCTGCTCCTCCCCCTGCACCTAGGGTCACCGCCCACTGGCTCCCCTCCCCCACCTCCAGAAGCCCAGTGGTGGCCAGGGCAGCCTGACAGCCTAGCCTACACAAGGGAGGGTTGCATCTCAGTGGGTCACATGGCCACAGGCACACATGCACAGGTGATAGACACCCTCCATCATCCTGTTATTTACAAAATACCCACAACACTCACACACAAATGTACAAACAGACGCTCACACCTGTGCACACACACCCTTGGGTGCTCATTCTGGGCAAAACTAGATGTAGAGAAAGAATTAAGTGCTTTCGTTCTCCCCATTTGGGCTCTTCTTTCTCTTCTCATAGCACTTGTAAGCCTTTGCTGTTTTTCAGTCACCAGCTGCAAGATCAGATCCTCTCTCTCCTTTACTCCAAGCTAGATACTATGTGTGCTAGCACCACCCCCATTGCACGAGTGTTCCCACTGCTGAAGGTTCGGTCAGGCAAAGTTTTCCCAAAGAAGAGAATTTAAAATAGTGGGTCTTTCCTTCCCCTACTTTTAAAACAGAAAAACAAAAGATAAAATAACATAGTGGATCTTGGCTGGGCTCAGTAGCTCATGCCTGTAATCCTAGCACTCTGGGAGGCCAAGGGGGGTAGATTGCCTGAGCTCATTCGTTCAAGACCAGCCTGAGCAAGAGCGAGACCCTGTTTCTAAAAAAATAAAAAAAGCTGGGTGTGGGCACCTGTAGTCCCAGCTACTCGGGAGGCTGACACAGGAGGATCACTTGAGCCCAAGAGTTTGCTGTGAGCTATGATGCCACGACATTCTACTGAGAGTGACAAAGTGAGACTCTGTCTCAAAAAAAAAAAAAATAGTAGATCTTTGTGGTGTGCTGAGAAACATATTAAAAGACCCCTTCCCCACAGTTTGGGGGAAAAGGGGAATGTGCATTTTTGTTTCTTTTTCCTCCAGGATTAAAGAGATTCTTCCAGGGGTCTCTAAATCCTGTCCCACCTCTGAACTCCTCCAACCCAAGCCCACAGGGCCTGGGGTGAGAGGACATGTCCCCCTGGCCAGAAGCCCCACAGGACCCACCGCTGCTGTCCTCCAGGCTGGGCTCAGGGAGGGGCGAGGCTGGACCGGAGATGTCCCTGTCCCCATCAGGCAGGGAGGGGCTGCTGTCCAGCTGTCCCACGGGCGGAGGCCAAGGTAGGTCTTTGATGACCTTAATGTCAACTGGAGCCAATGGCAAAAGAGAGGAGAGAGACAGACGGTGACAGAGACAGAGACAGAAAGAGGCAAAGGTTGAGACACCAAAACTCAGAGCTAGGACACAGGACAGCCTAGAAAGGAGGGGCAGAGGCAGAGGCCGGGGAGGGAGTGAGAATCTCAGAGGGCTGGACAAAACCAACATTGACCATACCAGGTTGGTCAAAGGGTTGGGGGCTTGGGTGGCAAGCAGCAGGATGCAGGGTCTTGCTCTGCCAGCCTCATGGGTCCCCGTCATCTGACCTCTCACAAGCCTCCAGGGCCCAAAGAACAGAGGAAAAGGAGGACTAGGAGCTTCCCACGCCTCCCCACACCACACCCATGTTCCCACAGCCTGCTGGCACCCCTAGCCTCACCTCCCTTTCTTCTCTTCCCCACAGCCTGGGAACTGGCAGGAAGCACAAGTAAGTCAGTATAGCCTCAAGGTTGTCAGGAATGTGCAGAGTTGGGGCAGATGTTTTATTGAAATTTAGCTGCCCCCCATCCTGAGAAGAGTGATGCCACCAGTGGCTGCAGGACTGCTAACGAGATTTCCTAATGACGAGCATAGATTTTCCCATTAAGCAATCCAAACAGTATTGATTCTCCAAGGAGACTTCTGGAGATAAACGGCCCATCCTCAATGGTCTGTGCTTTACAGGAAACAAATTAGAAACCCATGGCTTCCCAGTCTGGCGGCCAGGGTGGGGAAGACTGGCTCTAGCTGGAGGATGAGCCCTTATATCCAAGGAGGGGTGAGGGGCCCCTGGTGGCATTTAAGCCCACTGTGTTCTTACTGAATCGATGATTCAGGAGGGAAAGCTGCCTCCTCACTCGGGGCCCTTGCTCCACCCACCTAAGATCACCAACATGCACTTTTCCCTGGTGGATTTAGGCTTGGGATGGACAGTAATATGGCTGGAACAGTAGAAACCTGAACCTTATTCAGCAATCAGGGGATTTCTTACAGCCTCTCTCTGTACCTCAGAAAGTCCCCTGGGCCAAACACCCCACGTTTGGCAGGGTCCCAGCCCTAGAATTCAGGTTACACATATAGTTGTTTTCAGTGTTTCAAGTGTTAATTGCCTCTTTCTGTTAAATGCAAGTATTTAACATACTCTATGCCACAAGTTTTGTAATTTTGTTTTGTAATTTCTTTATTTTTAAACATACCCAGCCCCACAAAAGATGGAAGTAGCCCAAGCCTCTTGGCCTCTGAGATGTGGTCGATGCAGAGAAACGCCTTCGTCCTTCTCCTGCACCCATTCCCTGACTCTGCACAATGCTGTGTCCACACTGCTCACCTCCCCACTCTCTGTGGTACATAACTCAACTACATTTTTGCTCCTGGGCCTCCCTGGGCTCCTCGGGTCCACTCTTTCCCTTCTCCTGAGCCTGGAAGGCTGTTGAGTGGTCCCAGTGGACCTGTCTTCTCCATCAGGACTCACCTGCAAAGGCTTTGGAAATCCTCTCCTTCTTCCACTCCCAGGGCTGGTCGTACTCCTCAGGGGGCCTCTCATCATCTTCTGGCAGGCGGGATTCCCGGGGCCAGGGGGCTCCCTCACCCTCTGGGGTGGCCCCGTCTTCCTCTGGCTCATAGGGTGTGTCATACAGAGGCAAGGGCTGGGCTGCTGTTTCCTTGGAGCCCCGGATCTCTGACAGAGCAATGGGGAGGGGAGAGGTATGAGCTCAGCCCTGGTCATCTGGCTTTCTCCTCCAGCAAGATGTCCTGCCTGGGTCACTCACCCTCCAAAAACTTCTAGGTCTCCAAAAACACAGAACCCAATAGACAGGGGTGTGAAAGACAGGAAAAGGATTTCACAAAGTCCAGCAAGGGCTGGGTAGCCCAAGTTTACATGTTTAGGAAATGGAGGCATCTATCTCCTCTTTGTTGCCAAACTCCATTTATTTCCCTGTGTCTACAGTGATATCTTTTCACAATCATAAAGTCCTTCTTTGCTACTAAGACACCACTGACCACCCTTTTCTGAAATGTGACCTTTTGATAGTCATTTTCATAGATTGTCCTCTCTGACCTCCTAATTTGGTCTGTTTTCTTGGATCCTCTCTTGGCCTCTGTTCTCCAAGGCCAGGTCTCATTCATCTCTCCCTACCCTAACTCTTTGAACTACTTGCCCACCCTCATAGTGCCCATTATATCTGTATTGCTGGTCAAGTGTTTCCATTACCATCACTTTAACATCCTGTTGTTTCAAACTCACCACACCTTCTCCAAAGCTAGTGATTCTCTTTTGGGGATCTCTGGCCCCAATGAAAATCTGATAAAAGCTATAGAGGTGCTCCCTGGGAGAATGTGCCCTTAAACATTCACATACAATTCCAGAGCATTCATGGACCTCCTGAGGATCAGCCTCTCACTTTCTCCATTTCTGTCTACTACACTGTTCTTGAACCTGGCCCTCCTTCGGTCTCCAGATCCCATCTGTTTATTGCCAAGATGTGATGACTTTCTCTACATCTCCCCATATCTAGATTATTGCTAACATGAACCTCCATTTCATAGGCTCATGTTTCCATGGGCTCCATGAATAATACTTCTGGGATAATACCCTACCACTGTTTGCCTCCCTTGCCACCTCTCCCAAGGAGGAAGAGCAGCTTATCTGATTGGCTAGAGAATGCTTGCTTTCCTTCTTAGATCTGCCTTCTTGTAGAGAGAGAACATTCTGACTCTCCTCCATGCAGTGAGTAGCCTGACCCTGTACAGTGTCCTACAGCTGTCCTGCACTGCCCAAGCTGGAGTGGGAAAGTTTAATTCTGTGACCAAGTATTAAGAAGACCACTGTGATGACATAGCTAAGTAATGTTCTCCAGGCAACTTTATCAGTAATAAAGCTGACATTTTAATCTCAATCAGTCTGTTACCTTAGTCTTATTTCTCAACTATTTCTAGGCTCAGGAGAGGAAGAAAGAGAAGCCAATTACTGGCTACTAAAGCCCCAATAATTTTCTTTTTTTTTTGTAGAGACAAAGTCTCATTTTGTTGCCCTCGGTAGAGTGCCGTGGCATCACAGCTCACAGCAACCTCCAGCTCTTGGGCTTAGGCAATTCTCTTGCCTCAGCCTCCTGAGAGCTGGGACCACAGGTGCCTGCCACACTGCCCAGCTATTTTTTGTTGCAGTTTGGCCAGGGCTGGGTTTGAACCCGCCACCCTTGGTATATGGGATCAGCACCCTACTCACTGAGCCACAGGTGCTACCCAAAGCCCCAATAATTTTCACAACAGCCTGCTAACTCAACTTTCTGATCCCCACTTCTTCCGGTCTATTCTGCACACAAAAACCTTAGTAATTCTCTTAAAATGCCATACTTGTTCTATTCCTTTCTGGCTCAAGAATTCATAATGGCTCCATTCTCCCTTTTGGAGCAAGTCCAAACACCTCATTCCAGCCTTAGAAGCACTTTACTGTTCCTCTTGGTCTCTCTCATCTTAGCTCCCATGTACACCCAGCACTAACATTATCTGCCCCTGAACAAACTTTCTCTCATCCTGTCTTGGGGCCCTTGCTTAGACTCACCTACCTTGTCCTCTTTGATCATGACTTGGTCTTATTCCCTGGACCTTCTCTTGGCCTGTGTTCCCCCAAGGCCATGTCTATTCATCTCTCTCTACCTAATTCCTTAAACTACTTAACCAGCTTCACAGCATGCATTGCATCTATATTTTTAGTCACGTTTTTCCATTTGTCATACGGACGTTTCACTTTGACATTCCATCATTTCAAATTTATCACCTTCCCCAAAGCAAGTGATTCTCTTTTGGGGATCCTTGAGCCCCAGCCCACCCATACTATCTACTATCCCATGCCCCTCACTCACCAGCCATCATCTTTTGAGCCTCATAGGGCTCCATGTAGCCATCATTTTCAGAGACCTTCTCTGGCACTCCTGAAGCTCCTGCTGAGCCTTCACCAGTCTCCTGAACATCAAATGGGTCAGCATAGTCTTCTAGGATTGCCAACTGTGGGAGTGAATAAAGTGGGCTTTAGACAACTGAGAGGCAGTTTGCTCTTCCCCAGATGCTCTGTCCATGGAAGCAGGAGTCCTGGGTAGGCTGCCTTAGACACGGAGCCCAGGTACCCAAGGATAGGCTTTGAGCTTGGATGGGGATAAGCCCTGGCTCTTCCTAGTAGAGTTCTCCTACTGGGCCACCAACCCAGTGGTATATCTTCCTTTTCTGCTAATTCTGTACCTGTGGGTCATCTCCGAGGTGAATTGTCCAGAATGAGGGCATGAGGTCTTGTTTTGGTCAAGGTCTAAGCACGATTAAGAGAACACCAAGTGATTCAAAAGAGAGAATTAATTCAAAAACTTTATTACAAAAGTGTTGGAAAAAGTAGGGGGGTGCCTGTGGCTCAAAGGAGTAGGGCGCCAGCATCATGTGCCGGAGGTGGCGGGTTCAAATCCAGCCCCAGCCAAAAAAAAAAAAACCTTCAAAAGTGTTGGAAGAGTTCAAAGAATAAGCAAGGAATAGTAAAGCACCTTAGAAGGTAGTATGGTCTACATGCCTACAAGGGCACCTCCAGACACTAAACAAATAAACAGCTGCTGATCATCAAGGAAGGAAAGGCCGGCTGGGCTCAGTGGCTCACAGCTGTAATCCTGCCACTCTGGGAGGCTGAGGAAGGTAGATCGCCTGAGTTCAGGAGTTTGAGCTCAGCCTGAGCAAGAGTGAGACTCTGTCTCTATTAAAAATAGAAAAATTGTCTGGCATTGCGGTAGGTGCCTATAATTCCAGCTACTTGGGAGACTGAGGCAAGAGGATCTCTTGAGCCCAACAGTTAGAGTTTGCTGTGAACTAGATGCCATGGCACTCTACCCAAGGGGACAGAGTGAGACTGTCTCAAAAAAAACAAAGGCAACAAAGGCTGAGTTTTTCACAGTTCAGTTGATTTATCCTCACAACATTCCTGTCATGTGGGTATTATTATCCCCATTTTAAGGAATTGGAGCTTGGTGCAGTAAGGAGTCAATATGCCCAAGAGCACTTGCTGCCTAAGTGGAGGAATCAGGATTGGAACCCTTGCCCTTTATCCAAAAGGCTGCCAACCTGCCTTAAGGGTCATCCTTGCTGTCCTGAGAGAGAGAATATGCTAGAGTCATGCTTTGGGGAAGCCTGAGGCTCTGCTGAAATTTGCTGGCAGCTGGGGCACAGGGACAGGAAAGGCCTTGCATTGGCCCTCTACTCCCCACACACTGCCCCTTCCTCCCACAGAGTTGCTCATGGCCACTCCTCTGTCCCTGTTCCCACCCTGTGAAGAGCAAACTGCAAACCACACACCCTGCAGAGGCACTCAAGGTGCTCAGGGCAGGGCACAGAAGACAATAGAGCCATTCTCTAAGCTGGTATAGCTTCTCCTAGGGGGCCAGCTGAGGCAGACATAGAGCCCAGCCCACCCAGGATTGACAGGTGATGACGACAGGAGAGGGCTTTGGGGCCTGTGGTATGGGGAGAGGCCACGCTCGCCTTGCTTGCCTTCCTTTAAATCTTAGTCAACACTTTGGTTGTGAGCTGGGCTGTGGGAGTCAGCTGGGCTAGAAGGCTGTGGTGGGACCACTCTGCCCTGGGTTAGAGGATCTGGGAATGAGGACCACTAGGAAGGCAGAGATGGAGAAAGGAATCTCCCCACCTCAGAGACCCCTTCTGCATGTTCCTTTGACCCTGCCAGCCTCCCTGGGGGCCTTTGAGGTATGTCCCAGTGCCTCCTACCATCTCACTCTCAGGTCTTCACCAAGACCCCCTTGTCCCAGTCAACCCTCAGCTCCTTCAGCTCCCTTGCACCTCTGCCTGCTGGTGGGATGACCACCTCAGATCATCCCATTGCCGCCACTAGAGCATCCACTGCCTGGAGCTTGGTGTCATTTTTGTCTCTACTGTTCCAGTAAGCACCTGACACAGTCAGCACGAGAAAAATGTCTCTCTCTACTATGTCATCACCTGTCATGCCGGGGAGCCCTTTACCTCTAGTCCTCCTTTTTCCAGGAAACAGAGAAAAGAAATACACTCACCCCTACGCTACTCAAGCTGCTTCCTCGCAGGCCAACTGGCACTCACGGTGCCACCCCTTGACCAAGGGGACTCTGGAATCAGCCCATCCCTGCTGATCCTGACAGTCAGCACCCAGACTCACACTCATATGTGGCAGCTACTTGACAGTGTTGGAATCACCTGACACATTATCCTTAAACCTTTTCAATGACTCTCTACTGCTTTAAGAAAAAGTCTGAAGTTAAAGAGATCTAAAAGATTCCACTTTCCTCTTTGGTTTCTCTCTACTTACCTTAGATCATTCTGTTACTTGAGAGCTCTATGCTTTTTTTTTTTTTTTTTTGCAGTTTTTGGCTGGGGCTGGGTTTGAACTCCCCACCTCTGGCATATGGGGGGCCGGCACCCTACTCCTTTGAGCCACAGGCGCTGCCACTCTATGCTCTCTTTTACCTCAAAGTCTTCCTCCTGGACTTGATCATCTCTTACTGCTTACTATATTTCTTCAGAAAGTTTTTCCATACTCACCCCAGGCCTATTAGGTACCTCTGTGCTGGACTACTATTACATTTTATCATAAAGTTTTATTCTGTGTCTTCCTGCAGACTATGAGCTTCCTGAGGGCAGGAACCATGTTTACTGATAAATTCCTGAAAACTCTCAGGAAAACATTTGCTAAATCCATTCATATAAAACAGGAAGAATGGACAAAAAGGACTTTTACCTGTTCACTGAGAAGAGAGAGGAAGCCCAAATCTGAGTAGGGTGGGGTCACATGGGGGAACTGAGTCTTTTCTGGTGAAGCTGTGTCCTCAGAAGCTGCTTAGTGAGTGGAGGTGTCCCCAGGGCCCCTCCCACTCTCCTCCACTCCACAGAACCCCTTCAGAATTCCCCCCCGCCCACCAAGCCTCATCAGAACTATACACAGTTCCCTTTCCACTGGAGCCCTGGGCACAGGCCCAGAGCCTCTACCCCTCCCAGGCTGGCGTGGGCTTCCCCAGCCCCAGCCTGCAATGCCTGTGGGCGCCCAGGTGGCAACTCTGCGGGCAGCTCAATGGCTCCTCTGTTTAATTCCTGGCTCCACACCCTGCTCCAGGAAGCCCCGGCCCAGCGCCCTGGGCTGGGGTGGCCAGATGAGCCACCCACAGGCCTGGGAGTCGGAAGCAGCAGCAGAGACAACAGCTGGGAAGACGAGCAGGATGGGTGTCCACCCTGGGCACAGCAGATCTCAAGCAGAGCCCAGGCCTGCTTTCCCAGTGGCTTCTAGGTCCTGTGAAGATAATCTGCTCAGTAGGGGAAGTTGTTGTAGGCTGCCACAATTTGTTATTTTGCATATGGTCCCTTTGCCCACTCTGATGTGCTCACTGCTGTATCCTGCACCCATCACAGGGCCTAGCAGGTATTTTAGGACATTTACTGGCTATTCCAAAGGCCTCCTCCCCAGACTATTTGCAGTGACATTAACTTTCAGATCTCCATTCATTCTGACCAGCAGTAACTATGACCAGTAGTGGCTGCAGGAGACGCTACATGTGAATAGGGATCAAAGCCTCTGGCACAAGGGCAGAAGGGAGGGGTTGTCCACAAAAGGCCTTGGGAGAAAGTACCTAAAACCAAGGCTGATTGATGTTTAGGCATATAGCCAGAATCCTGTTGAAATGCTGAAATATTTCCAAACTAGTAGGTAAAGTAACTGTTACCCAGAGGGTCCCTTGTCCCTCTTCCTCCTGCCATCCAGCAGGGTGCCTCCAAGACCCTGTGATTGTGTCTGTTCCAATGGGGAAGTGCCAGCTGTCACACTTTGAATCTCCTTCCTGCCCAAGCCTCTCCTGAGGTGGCTAGCAGGCCCACCATCTGGTTCATCTCCCACTCTGCAGCTGGGACATGTAACACGTTCTGTAACCCAGCCATGAGCTCCAAGGGATACAAGTCCAGGAGGAGAGAGGGGTACCCGTTACAGGATGCTGGGTCAGCAGGTCCCCATACCTACTATGTTCCCTTTCCTCTGCTTCTTTAGTTTACATTTAATGTCTGAAAACCTCTGTCTTTTTATCTGTAGAATGAGGATGATAATAGTACCTATTTCATAGGGGTGGAAGGAGGAAAATGAATTTGTATAAGTTTTAGCCCAGAGGCTGGCATGGAGTTAGTACTCAATAAATGTTAGCACTAAAGATAATATTTTATATTCAGGTATTGAGGTCCCAAAGTTTAGGTGCTTGTTCAGGGTATGCAGCCAGTCAGCAGCAGAGACAAGCCTGGGACCCAGGTGTCCTGACTCTTAGTGCCATATCAGATTTCCAAAAATATGGAAAATGCAGCATCTTCTCTCTTCTACTTGTTAATATTTAAAATATACTTCAAATCAGAAAGTCCTGTGGCAAAGAAATCTAATTTTGTTTAATTCAGTAATTCCCCAAAGTATTTAACCATGGAATCCGTTTGTCACTGACAGACCTAGTAACCTGTTACACTGTGGGAAATGGTACACTCCTTACCACCTTCCCCAAGAATAAGCTTTTTGTATGTACTGTTCCCAGTTATTGGAATGCCCTTCTCTGATTTTATCTGCTTGGGAAACTCCTTTCTAAGAAATGCATTTATTTTCCTTTTCTAATTACAAGAGCAATGTCATGTTTATAAAACAGTCAAACATCTCACACATGTAACTGATCCTACCAATGCTCAAAAGACCTCTGGGTGTGGTGCATTGGGCAGTAAGTGGTGGTTCTCAGCATTCAGGAAATGGTGAACTCAGCACAGAACATACCTCTTATTCCTTCTCTTGTTCACTAGCAAATACTTATGGAACACCTCCTCTCTGTCAGGTAGCAAGGTGCTGAGGTCCCAGGCATGATGCAGAACAGCAGCAAGTCTGGAGTCAGGTGACTGGCTATGAACTTCAGCTCCACTACTTCCCAGCTGAGGAACTGTACAAGTGTGACCCAAAAGACCTGTGCCTCAGTTTCCCCATGTATACCCTGGGGGTGGTAACAGAATCTTCTTCGTAGGGTTGTTGTAAGGATCAACTGATATAATACATGTCAGCTGCTTCAAAATGATGCCAGGCACAGGTAAGTGCTCAGTAAATGTCAGCTACTATATTATTAAAGTTGAAAAAAACTATTCTGGGTCCTCCAGGAGTGCACAGGGACAGATACAAAATAGGTTTCAAAAGAGCAAAGTGCCTTGTGGGGGCTGTGAAGACTCCAGGCTAGAGCTCCACACTGTGGGTCTACACATGGTGTTTGGACCCCACCTTTGCTCTCACATACTAATCACACCCATTCGTGGTGAGGGCAACTGGAGTGGGCAGTAGACTCCTCCTCAGCCCGGGGCCCCAGCCAGGGCTTGCCCAGCCCAGCCAGCTCCTCCCTCCATGTTGCTCAGGGTCCCAGCTGTTCCTGGCTGCCCATAGGCAGAGAGCCAGGGCTGAGGTGTCATTGAGTCACTCACTGGCCAAGCACAGATGTCTTTCAGACAGAGTGAGTGCTGCAGTATGCTGCACTGAGTAGAGGGGACGGGCCTGCCACACAATCGGAGCCATAGGCTTCAGCTACCCTCAAAGCACTAGTAATGGCAGAGATGGCCAGCCTGGGCCAGAGAGTTAAGAGGTCTAACTAGCCCACAGAGGCCCCTTCAGCTGGACACCTGCTTCTCCAGGACTTTCCCTTCCCCTCTGTCTCCAGCAGAGAACACATGCAAGATGAGCAGATCAGCGTCTGTGGAAATCACAAGGAGGAACATTAAAGCAGACAAGCAGACAAACTAAAAAAAGGCAAGGACCAGTCTTCCAGGGTGCGGTGACCCTTTCAAAGCCTAGGCCACATACCTAATGACACACATACATTCAGGGAACATGGCTAGGGGATGGTCCTACATAGGCAGCCTCTACACAGTACCCACCTAACCTCAAGACAGGAATGTCTTATTCAATCTTGAACACCCTATCTGTTCACTCCTTTCCAACTTTGGGCCTAAATGATGCAAGTCCCTGTAGATACCATCTGTGAGGTACATCTAGTTTTTTGGGTTTTTATGATTGTTTTTTAAGAGATGAGGTCTTGCTCTACTGCACAGGCTGGAATGCAGTGGCATGATCATAGCACTCTGTAGTCTTGAACTCCTGGGCTCAGGTGATTCTACTAACTCAGCCTGCCAGTAGCTGGAACTACAGGTGTGTGTCACCATGCCCAGCAGAGGTACATCTACTTTTATTTTTTTATTTTTACTTTGTAGAGACAGAGTTTCACTTTATCACCCTTGGTAAAGTGCTGTGGCATCACACAGCTCACAGCAACCTCCAACTCCTGGGTTTAGGCAATTCTCTTGCCTCAGCCTCCTGAGTAGCTGGGACTATAGGCGCCCTCCACAACACCCAGCTATTTTTTTTTTATTGTTGCAGTTTGGCTGGGGCTGGGTTTGAACCCGCCACCCTCAGTATATGGGGCCAGCACCCTACCCACTGAGCCACAGGTGCTGCCTGGTACATCTACTTTTAAAAGTTCTCAATATTGGGGGGTTTGTGAGTCTGAGAGCTATATTTTCCCCAAAAAAAATGGGAAATCTCTGCACATAATTTCTAGAGGTTCATGAACTCCAGGAATACCTCCTTGAGCTAAGAAGAGGAGCCTGGTTTCAATACAGGGTGACTCCCTATTTTATTGTCCATGTCACCCCCCACACACATATCTTAGCATGATGGAGGCAAAAGACATTTTGTGCAGATGGTCATAGGCAGCTCAGAGCTTCGTGCAATCAGGCCCTCCTGTTCCTATATCCATTCCTTTCCCAAATTAGACCATGATTTTTTCTGTTGAAGGTCTGAGAAAAGGGAGCAAAGCAAGGGAGGGTCCAGCTCTATAGCTCCTCTGCCAGAGTGTGGCCTGGAGGCTGGACAGGGTCAAGCACACTATGAAGGAGCTTTTCCTGCAGCCAGATGGCAAGGCCTCTGCCTGCCCGTTGCAGGGTACAACTCCTGCTGCTCTCACACCTGCCCTGCCAGGCCTGCCCAGATGGCCACCCTTGCACCCCTGCCAACTACAGCAGTGGGTCTGAGAGTGGCTGGTAGCCAGAACCCTGCATGGGTAGAGGGCTAATGGTCCTAAGCCCACAGGGCCTCTCGGGGGCCTGCCCAGGTCCCTGTTCTCTCCTGCCCACACTCAGGGGGTTTCTCTTCAATCCCTCTGGCTTATCACAGAAGTAACTCCACATATTTCATCAAATCTCATAATAGAGCCCTTCTCAGAGAGTTCTGAACCTCCCTTCCCTGGCACCAGCCACTGGGCTCCAAGAGGAGAGAAGCTAGCCCAGCCCAAGGCACATCCAGTCTCCATCTCACCTCAGGAGACCTCAAAGCAGCCAGTCAAGGGCACAGCTGAGAGGAGCAGGAGCAGAAGCAGAGAGCAGGGAGAAAGCAGCCACACAGTGCAGAAGCACTAGCTCAGCAGGGCTACAGGGCAGGGACAGCATCTTTCTGAGCTCTACAGGCATGTGTCGCTCAGTAGGCCTGAGAGGTGCTTAGACACTTTAGGTTTAGAGCAAAGGGCTCAGGCACCTTGTCTGGGCTCTTCCTAGGGGAAGACTCTGACCCCAAACTCTGAGATAGGGGGCTGCTCTCTCTAAACTATAGGAAGCCCCAAGTCAGGGCCCACAGAGACAGTGTCCCTGCCCCTGAGCCAGCTCAGATGGCATCCTGGGTCTTTCTCATAACACCCGTTAAAGAAATCACAGATTGTGTGACTCCTGGGAAAGCCTACTGTATTTCAGATTGCTCTGAATCTGACAAAGGAGTCAGACATCTCTTGGCCTCTGAGTCTGAACAGCACACAGATCACAGAGCTGACCCAAGCTGAGGCATGGATACCCTCAACAAGAAGAAGCTGTGAATCTCTGCATGGCTCTGCGGGTGGAGCACTTTCCCTGGGGAGGGGAGGGGGAGGTCTCTGGGGAAATGTGTAAGAGGAGCTCTGCCTACACAAGTCCCTGACCCTCAGGCCATCCTGGTGTGGACAGGCACCACTCAGGACATATTGGAACCCCTCCTATGCCAAGCATTGTGTCAGGCGCTTGAGAGACACAGACAAGAGGAGGATGTTGTCCTTGTCCTGGAGCAGCCCACGACTTGATGGGCAGCCTTCTAGGTCATTTCAAGCCAATGCACAGAGAAGGGCCAAGGACAGCTCAAGCTTGTATTGCCGGCGCCAGACAGGCAGTGGTCAGAGAGGAGGAGACTAGCTGGACAGTGATGAGAACCAGGCCCAGCACTCTCCTCCGCCTCACTGCCACCACCTCCATCACATCACACAATAGCGGGGACAATTAGGAAGCAGAAGAGCACAATCTAGGAGAAGTGCCCTTGAACCTTCCTCTGCAGACCAAGGATCCTGGCCCAGGATATGCAGCCATGCCCCATGGCAAGAACTAGGGAAAAATAATTCACATTCCTGAGGCTTTTGCTCTGACCCTGACACATCTCTCTCATCCAGGAAATCAGGCAAAATGGCATGCTCTCTTAGCTAAAAGCCCTGATCTTGTAGACCACAGATTTGACAGCAACTTTGCTCTCCAATCAAATAAAAATGGTCTCCTCTGTTGAGGATAGGGGAGTAAGCCCTAGAGCTGAGCTCCCAGGGATGAGTAAAGAAGGACAACAGAGTCAGAATGGACCACAGAATCATCATCACAGAATTCAGGGCTATAGGAGCCTGGGGATGGCTTTCAGCTGTTACTCTGCCAGAGAGAATCTTGTGGACTGTGAATGCCCTGCTCACCTCCGTATTCCAGTGCCTGCAGACCCCAGAGAAGCTTTAGCCTCCCTCAGAATGAATCCAGGGAGGAGGAGGCCAAGAGGGAGAGGTGCACAGGCTATTGCTTAGCCCCATTTGGGCAACAGGTCCTGAGCATCACCTGTCCTCATAGCAGGGGGAACCAGAGAATAAGTGAGGAGTGGACCTGGACCCTAGTGGTCAGCATCCTCAGCAAAAGCTGCCTGCTGCCTATCCTGGCCTCTTAAGAACTGAAGCCTGTCCAGCTCCAGCACCCCTGGGTAGGGCAACAGCCAGCTCTAGCTGTGTTCACAGGGAGACACCCCAGCCTTCACCTCCTTTCTGGGGCTTCATCACCTGCAAGGTTGCTTGGGCTCCCAGATGAGGAGGAAGAGGACAAGAAGGAGGAGGAGGAGGAAAGAGGAGGAGGGAGAGGAAAGAAGAGAAGGAGCGGAGCAGCAGGAGGGGAGAGCTTTGTGCTAGCTTTGCCCTGGGGGAAGGGTCAGAGATCAAAGGGCAGTAAGCTGTTGCTCCCTGAGGGGCAGAAAGGCTGTAAACCAGAGGGGGATCTGGAGAGGGAGCACCTCAATTCCCAACAGAACAAGGCTCCTGGATCTGGCTCGGGGGCGCTGTAAAGTGGAGAGAATTCGGGAAAGGGAGGGTCATCAGTCCTGAGGCCATACCAGGCGATAGGGGCAGAGTTTGGGGCTCCTGTCCCAGATTAGTCGGTCAAGAATCTGAACAAAGGTGGGTGAAGACTCGCAGACCCGGGGTCAGGGGCTCGTGCCAGCTAGTGGCCGTGGCACAGAGGGGCCAGACGCGGGCCGGCCACCTTTGTCCCTCACGCAACCTCCAGACCACTAACCGCCTCCCCTCCGGCCACCCCCGCCCGGCGCAGCACTCACCCTGTCGCTACTGGCTGGGGGTCCGGTGATCCGCTCCTCGGCAGGGGGCGCTGGGGGTCCTGGGGTCTCGACCCTAATAAGGCGGTGCGGGGGCGAACCGTGGCGCGGGGGCGGCGTGGGGCCGGGGACAGCGGGGGTGGCGAGGGCTGAGGAACCGGACGAGCCCCCAGAGTAGGGGTCTTCGAAGTCGCGTTCCCGCTGCAGCCGGTAGGCAGCCAGGATGTCCGGGGGCGGCGCGGGGGGCGCCGCAGGGGAGGGAGCGGGGGCGCGGTAGTCCGGCTCCGGGGGCGCCGGTTTGCTGCCCCCTCCGCCGCCGCTCCCCCCGCGGAAGCCCAGGTGCTCCCGGAGCCACTTGGCCACCCCGCCGCTACTGCCTCCTCCTGGGCCGGCTCCCGCACCCCCGGTGCCCCGGCGGGACCCCCCCGAGCCACCCCCGGCACTCCCTTGCGCCCGCGGCCCGGGGCGGGAGCCCGCCGGAGGAGCTCCGCTCAGTAACATGGGGCCCGCCAGACTGAGCAAAGGGAGCTCAGTGGCCGGGTGGGGGGCGGGGGCGGGGAACGGGGCGGGGGCGGAGCTCCGCCGGGCGGAGAGGGGGGCGGGGCTCGTCAGTAACAAGGGAGGGGCGGGGCTCCGCTCCTGAACAGAGTCTGCCTCCGCGACAACCCCCTTCCAAGGCTTCCAGCCGGTGTGGACGCGCGCGAAGTGAAGTGGAGACCCCGGGTCAGGGAATGCGACCCCTGCACTGAGTGTGAATTCTCCACGTGTGGCGGAAGCACACATCAATCCCCGTCTGTTCCTGTTCCCTATTTCCCAACTCGTGCAAGGCGCGGAGAGGGTAGCCCCCAGACTCCTAGGTCTGGGGCGCCTTCCACTTTTCCTCTCCTCTCTTCCAAGGCCTCCAAACCGGGAAATAATATTCTAGGAGAAAAGCTAGTGAGGGCAAGAGGAGCCGTTCCATAAGAAGATGTGTCTGTAACAACCCACTCCCCCATCCCGATGTTACCTTGGGAGCCCCACCTACCTCCTCCCTTCCAACTGCACGCACCGCACATAGCCGAACCTATATTACTTCTCATCCATGCAAACATCTCACATCACATACAAAAAAACCTCCCTAAAGACATCCACTTCCCCCGTGGCATTTGCACACGCGCTGTCCTCACACATAAACAGCCCTCCTGCAAACACCCCCCCACCACGGGCGCACCTGCCAAGAGCAGGCCCACCAGTCCCTGACGGCAGCACGCGCACACGCAGAAATCCCTTCAAGCCACGTAGCCGGTTTCATTGTCAATCAGATTAGTGACAGAATGGAAACAGACAAGTCAATAAATCAAGTCTAGAAACAGTTCCAGTGTTGTCTATCACGAACTCCTAATCCTCCTCAGGCTCAGATGCTCAAGTGCTAGGCATTTTTGTCTTAGAAACAAAGCCAATCCTCACCAGAAATGTTGTCGCCCTGAAGCCAACACCAACGTTTGCTTTTGGCTCTGGTAAGAAGGTAGCAGCCTCACCTCACCCCTCACCCCCAATTTTTTAGCAACTCCCCTCTCCCAGGTTCAAATTTGCCTTTTGAGGGAGCAAAGAGCAGGCAGAATGAGGCCCCAAAGAAAAGGGAGTTCAAAGCTGAGGGAATAGAGGAGAATGTCATGGCAAAACTGTGCATCTCCCAGGATTCCCAGGGCCTCAGGTCTCAAAACATTTGTTGAGTTTCTGCTTGGTATAAATTTTTGTGAGTGTTATACGACAGCGCTTCCCAAACATTAATGTGGAAAAAGATCTCCAGAGGATCTAGTTTAACTGCTGGTTCTAATTCTGTAGGTCTAGCTGGGGTGGTGTCCCTGACTATCTAGGCTGGGACCTCACTTTTTTGAGGACAGATTCCCTAGAGATTAGACCTAGACAGGCTCTCAGGTGATAAGGATGCTGCTGGCCCTTCAGCACACTGTAGGAAATACTGAAAATTTGATATTGTGCCTGCTGGTTTTATGAAGTATAATAGAGAAAATAACATGTGCACATGATTTAAACGTGTAGTTTAAAACACTAACAACATAAGCTGGATGTAGAGATGATAAACACCAGAACAGTCCAGTTCATCCTTAAGGGAAGGTCTCCACAATCGCCAGGTGTAAGGGTATGGGACCATCACTGGTAAGGAACCCAACTTCTGGGTTCTAGTCAAGGTATTTGGGGAAGGTACTGAATGCCATTGATCCCTGTTTTCCTTACTTCTGGAAAGGAAGTGATCATTGTGTGAGGATAAGGGAGAAGATGACTATGAACAAGTTTTGAAATTTGTAAATGGTTACAGTGGAAGGTGTCACATGAGGCCACATTGAAGACATGGTGTTAAGCTGGTAACAGCTCAGATGAATGAAATCAGCTAGGTAGGATTTGGATAGATGAAGCAAAAGTCTCTTATTTCTTAGTTTCTATAGCTATAATTGTAGTCTACACATAATTTTACATTCTTATGTTTTTGATGGTAATTTCCCCATGTTTGTTATGTAGGCTTTTATTTTCTTCCAACTTTTTTGGGAGAAAGTTTAAACCTATAGAAAGTTCAAAGAAGGTGTAGTGCAAACCTGTATACTC